TGTGTGTGTGTGTGTGTGTGTGTGTGTGTGTGTGTGTGTGTGTGTGTTTGGGGGTATGTGGGTGTGGTGGTGGGAATGGGGGGATGTAGTGATGTCGGGAGTTGGGGGTGGGTCTGAGGCTTCTGACTGGCTCTATTGCTTGGAGAGAGAAGAGCTTCCATGCTGTTGTATTTAAGGCAGTTTGCAGAGCTCTGGCATTGCTGTTTGCTCTGTAACGAAGGGTTTTCCGGTTGCCAGGCCCATCAACTTCATCTGCTCACATGTTCCACTTCTTCTTCAGGTGAAGTATCACCACAGGGGTGAGCACCAAAGTGGCCAGAGTGCAAATAACCATAGTGGATGCTTCACCCAAGGGAGAAAGAAGGGAAGGCAGGCCTGGCCTGTTATTGCTCAGAAGCCGCACCGGCATTGCCTTATATGTAACCAAGATGGTTCACAGTGCCTCTCTGAGTGCTCAGATAAGATCTTTCAGGGATTTGAGCTAAATTCAGATGAATTCACTGAACACACAAATGTTTCATGGCTTTAAGACAAAGTCACTGCTAATGCTAGCTAGTAGGAGCTATGTTGACACAGCATTACTGCTCTCATGTATCTACTGCAATACAAAAGTCAGATTAGCAGCTCTTCTCAGGCCACACATCCATGAAAATACATCAATAAGTATGAAACATCGGTCATATCATGGGGCCTGGGAAAAGCCCTCCGAGGGACAAGAAAGTCCATGAAGATGCTTGTAGGTACCATCCTGAAGATCGCCCTGTGCTTTGGGGATTTTATTTTAATTGTTTTATCCTATTCCAGAAGAAGGAACAAAGCATCATCAGGGGGTGACTCTGGGAAGCAGCTCACACATGGAAAACATACCCCACAATCTCACATTGGTCCAGGTAGGGTTATCTTCTCTGAAGGAGATCACGCACATGAAGGTCATTCCACAGTGTTTTAGGAAAGGACTTTTACCACCGAATGTGTACATAATGCTCCTGCCTTGAAGCCTGCCCCTTTCTCTAGCAACTTTCTTTTTTGACTCATAATTTTAAAAATAAACAATAGTGCCCAATGTTTAGAGCATAGATGTGGTGTCCCCAGCACCTGGGCAGTGATTCCCTCCTGATCAGTCTATACTGCAGCAATATGCTCTGGTCCCCACTACCTACTTTTTTCCAGAGAGAGCACCATTGACTTTGACTTACATCATCTATCTAAAGGCCAACCTACTTAGAGCCTGAAAGCTATTGCTCCCTCCCTCCCTCCCACGTTGGATGTAAGCATCACATATGTTCTTTCTACAAATTGGTATACAGGTGCCATTTAATCGGTTCAAATTCAGAAGCTACATCTTCAAGGGTCTGAGAGTTCACTCCTCCATATTCCCCCTTTACAGATTCTCTTATAAGACATACAGCTTAATCAATTAACAAACTAAACAGCTTATATACTGGCAATATATTACAGATGGATTTATGTCAGAGTAATAGATCACATGAAATGGACCATGTGGTACCCTGGTGCATGTCTTGGTGGAGCCTTGAGGACACTGACAGGAGCATCTCTAAGTGCTGTTTGAATACAGACACATGCGGATCTGTAACTACATCCATCTGACTAGGCCGAAAGGAGCAGGTAGACGTGAGATAGAGACACACACATGCTGGGTGGGGCCCGTGCCCACCTCCTCATGCCATTTGAAGGGCAGTTACAGGTGGCTGGCTCTGCAGCCACTTAAGTTACACTTTAGGGAAAGGCTTCTCTAATTGTGTCTGGCTTGTCTTGTGTAGTAAGCACTGCTGGAGGGAGACCAAAGCAAGCGCAGCTAGAAGTTAAGTATACATTTCAGCTCAGCTGTGATACAGAACTTTAGAGAAGCACGCAGAAAGATTTAACTTATTTTTACGTTGGATCTCTCTCTTGCTATTTTATCTTGACATTTCGTGAGTGCATTTGTGCATGTGTGTGTGTATGTGTGTGTGTGTGTGCAAGCTGTATATGTGCATGTGTGCTGTGTTCTATCGCGTCATCTCCTGAAGAACGCTGGATTTCGCAGGCAGGCGGCTAGTCACCTGCAACAACCCAACGGTCCTGCCGAGGCTTCCAGGCTGCTGTCAGTGTCAGATGCAAGGGTCTGATCAGTGGACATGGAGGAGATGTCGTTGACAGACGAGGATGGAGGGAGACTCTCACTGCTGTTCACTGCTGCACCTGTGCTAAGAAAATGAAGAACAACATGACTAAATCTGGAACCAGACCCATGGGCTCAAGATGTTCAGTGTGGGGATGGGTATAACAAGAAGAAATGTCTTCTCTATCTATTCTGCAGACCTTCATAGAACTGATACAGGAAACTGAACTTGATGGTCAAACTCAAGAAGAAATGGTTCAGAAACCCCATCACATGTCATATTTATTCACAGGTTAATGGTTATCAATTTCACCCTGTATCACCACTCATACCATCCCACCTCTAAGTCTCATAGTATTGCAATGTTACTGAGCTTGAGTGAGGCCAAGACATTTGCATCCTTAGGTAGGATCTTAGAGACTGTATAGTTACTCAGGGGACAGAAAACCACTGGCATTATCCTGATGTTTTCAGTGAAAGAAGGAAAACAAGCACACATGCTAGTCTTAGCCCAGAAACAAGCTAAGGCAAAGCCCAGTGATCTGAATTTGTGATGATTACCGCTCTAGGAAAATGGAAATATATAAAACACATAGTATTATATAATCATTAAATGGAATACCAAAATGCAAATTGATGTAGAAAAGCCAAGATTCTAGAGGAATGTTAATGACGAGCAGAAGGAAAAATAGGCCAGAGCATGCCCTCTGAGCTTAGGGTTCCGTCCAGCAGACTCACTTGCTTAGGATCTGTGAATATTGGGTTATTAATTGGAAGCATCTTTCATTCTGCTGCAAGTCTCTGAAACTCTGGCAGGGCACCCTCAGCAAAGACTGGCTGTGAGTCGATAGCTTTGAGAACAATGAGGGGAAGATGGGCCCAAGGCCCAGGGACCAAAACTCAGCAGCCTGGAAACAGTCAGTCTCCTTTATTTTTCATCTATAATTTTTGTGCATAGGTGATAGGTTAACACAACGCATACATATGAAACAAGTATACGCTTTGTAGAAGAGGTTACTACTATTTAAAATACCTATCAATCAACAAGAACAAAGAATTCCTACTAAAATTGTCTCACTTGAGAAACAATCTATTTGGTGAAAGATTATAACTAGAGTAAGGGATTATCCACATCAACACAGAATTAAGTCAGAAAACAAAATAAACCCAAGGAAGCAGAAGCATTCAAACAGCGTCTGCTCCAACAGCAGTTATTTTATGGGGACAAATGGGATAAAAATGTAAACGTAACTAAAGGTAACTAAAGTAAAAAGTAACTAAAGGTTTCAAACACTTACACCAAGACACGTTCGTACATCCTCAGACATTTGCAACGTCATTTGATTATAAAATAGTCTAAACTATTAGAAATACACTTAGCCAGCAGAGAAAGAGAGCCAAGCGTACCCTGATGCCCAAGTTAGCAGCAGGAACAATGACCTTTTCTTGTACTCCTGAGTCCTTTCCTAGCAGCTCTCCCTCTCTGTGACCATCTTCTATGTATTCTTCTATACCCTGATAGTTTCATATACAGAAACTCTGAGGTACTTTTCATTCCTTTGAAACTCTTTTAAAGGTGGGTGAGATGGCTTAGTGGTTAAGAGCACTAACTGCTCTTCCAGAGGTCCTGAGTTCAATTCCCAGCAACCACATGGTGGCTCACAACCATTTATAATGAGATCTGATGCACTCTTCTGGTGTGTCTGAAGACAGCTACAGTGTACTCATATACATAAAATAAATAAATAATTTTTAAAAAAAGAAAGTCTTTTTAAAATGCTAATACCTCCTAATCTTAGATGTTGCAGTTTCCTCTGAATGACAACTATCTTTATCAAAGTAGTGTATAATGTAGATGTACCTGGCTTCAGTATATTCCAACATTCATCAATTACAACCATCACAGAAATTGTGCAGGGGTAGGCCAGCTCTTCATGTTGCTCTAGCAGACACTCCTGGGCCCCACAATGGAGCTGTTTATACCCAGCACTAGAATTCCATTAGACTGGCATCTGTCACGTCCCTTCTGAAGTGCTGATCTCTAATAACCCCGAGTCATTGTGATGCTCTTGTGGAGAGCAGCTTCATGCCAGTGACAACAACACACAACACTCTGATAAATATTAACATCAATTACAGGCCTCACAGACTGAGGCCACTTTTACATTTTGTCTGCCTGTGTTCAGGACTATGGGATGTTATGCCTTTCAAATAAAAGCTCACAGTTTACATTTAGATTGTTATTACTCTAGAGTTGGAAAATGTTTATATCTTCCCACAACAGCTTTTGTTAAGCTCTAATTCATGTGTTAGATAAGTTATGAATTTGACTTGTACAATTCAGTGTTTTTAAGATCATTCTGAGTTGTACAGCATAACCACATTCAATCATTTACAACTCCCCAGTGGGAGTCTTCTCCTCATTTTCTCAACCACCCATTGTGTGTGTGTATGTGTGTGCATGCATGTTGAATGTGTGTATATGTATGTATGTGTGTGTATGTGTGTGTATGTGTGTGTATGTGTGTGTATGTGTGTGTATGTGTGTGTATGTGTGCGTGTGTGTGTGTGTGTGTGTTGTATGTGTGTACATGTATGTGCATGTGTGTGCATGTGAAGGCCACAGACCTTCTTGGAGTGTCATGCCTCAGGCACTGTCCACCTTTTGTTTTCTGAGGCAGGGTCTCTCTCTGGCCTGAGCTCACTCAGTAGGCTTGCCTGGCCGGTAAGCAAGCTCTCAAGAGTCTCCTTTCTCTATCGCTCCAGTGCTGGGTTTACACGCATGTGTCCCAGGGTCCAACTCTCCCCCTAGGGGTTTAGGAGATTGGCCTGAGATCTTCATGCTTACACAGCAAACACTTTAGAGACAGAACTCTCTGCAGCCCCCAACAGCCTTTGCCTCCATGATTCTGTGAATTCATGTCCATAGAAACATGCGATATGAATGTCACTGACTTCTGTCACACATTTCCAAAAGCAAGATAGGCCTTGAGAGAGAAAGCTCGAAGAGCATGTGAACATCCCATCCCCATACAGCTGAGCAACAGCCATCGCACTACATACCACGTCTTCCTTCCTTACTTCCTGGTTGCTGCACATTCACTAAATACTGAGCTATCTTCCTTTTAAGGATATTATGAATAAATGCCACAATCGTGTCATGGTCATTTACACAGAAGCTTTGCATGGATGTTACTTTACATCCCTCGGGGTCTGAGCAGGTCTCTGCTACTTCTATTTAATTGATTCTGTTTGAAGAAGCACCAAACTGTTTCTGAAAGTGAGTATGCCAGTTTACATTCCTACAGGCAGCTTTAAAGAATTAGTTCCCTCACACCTTCCTTAACACTTATCAGCTTTCCTGATTATAGGCACCCAGAATTGAACCATACTGTGGGTAATTCGCATTGCCCAGTGGCCAACTGTCCTATCTTTCCATGTGCTTGGTAGTCATTGCATACCTTCTTTGGAGAAAAAAAATGTTTGTACACTTTGATCAATTAAAAAATTGCCTCGTTCCCTTATTATTATTGAACCACAAAAGTGCATCACCAGTGGGAAACAGATGTGTAATTTGCAAATGGTGTTCTCTTATTATGGATTATCTGTTGTCTTTCAATTTTCTTTATACATACAGATGTCAGATTCGCCCTTTTTGTTCCTGGACTTTTGGTGATAGTCCTAAAAAAACCATTCTATCACTTAAGACCATGAGGATTTACTCCCATAATTCCATTCATTTCTTACATGTGGTTTCTGTGACCCATTTTGATCTCGCTTCTGCACATGTTCTGAGGAAGCAGGCTGTCTTTGTGCTTCCATAGGAGGTACCTGCTTGTTTAAGCACCATTTACAGGAAAAGCCCATTTTATTTCTCTTGTGAAATATTAATTAATCATCTTTTATAGTGGTTATGCTACTGTACTCTCAGCTTTATCCCATTGATATGTAGTTGGGCTGTTATGGAAGTAATACAGCAAGGCCCTAGGAGGTAGGATCTGTTTCCATACATTTCAGCTCCCGACAGGAAATGTGATGGTGGGGAGGTAACCAAGCATAGCATAAGGAGTAGCCTAGGCAGCAGGGACCCCACTGGGCTTGGGCAACATCCACACCCTTCTCTGAACAATATACCCAGCCTGTAGTTTAGTGTAGAGGAGCCCAAAAGTCAGCAGAGTCTTCCCCTCAGCTAATAGACACAAATGTCCCCTGCCTGGGGCCAGAGATGTCAGAAAGGTTTGAAAGAAAATGTCTTCGATTCTGCCCTGGTCAAATGTCAGAGGAAAGGCATGGTTTCTCCTTACTTTTACTCTGAGGGCCTCTTTCGGGGAGTCACAACTGAGATGGAGAGGGTACGTGGACACCTCTGAGTTGGAGCTGCACTGAGAAGTTCATTCTGCCTCCATGTCTCCATTCAGTAAAGCTTTGGATTGAATAATGTATCCTGGCTACTTTGCAAGCAATATGCACTTTTATCCCCATTCTTGAATAAAATGCCAAGAACCTGGAAACACCTGGATCAGATCCCAACCACAGGCCACCTGGCTAGACTCTACCCCATTCGTTTAGGCTGCCTTTAACCGTTTTTTAACAGCAATTGTTTTCAGGGTGCAAAGTTTACACTTCATTTATTGAAGTTATTGCTAGATTTTTTTCCCTTTGTGGTCTTAGTTTATGTTGACTTATTTTCCATTCATGGCTAATGTACAGAAATGCATCTGATTTCTTTGAATGAAATCTCTCGATAGTCTTGAATTGGGAGCTAAGCAAACTGAGTGACGATGATGTAACGATGTGGGATGCTCAGTGGTACCCTGGTGCAGGATCTTCATGGCTCCTAACACCTATGAGCATCCCCTTGTAAATGGCTTTACTTGTATCACTTTGGCTTCTTGAAATCAGTCACAGTGAGACTATGTAGGCTGTACTTATAGATGTTATTAATCAACTTCCTTAGAAGTAAGTGGCAAACTCTAATAACCTTGTTAGATGTATGAGTTTGGTTTTGTGTGCCCTCTTTTATTGAGCTACAATAAATGTCTCCTGATTTGACAGCAGACGCCCTGGCTTTGAGGTAACT